TCAAGTTTTGTGCAAAAACGCATGATCGCTCCGGCTCGCCTGGTGCGTTCCAGCCTACGTTTGAGAAACGACCGCTCTAGCAATACTTCCACTTTTTAGCGAACTGGAAATTTGCATTTTTCATTTTCAATTAAAAAGCGAGCATTTATCGAAAAAACGACCGAGGTTCATACAGAAAACTGGATATTGTGTACCTGGAGGTTCGTGCGGCTCTATTAATACACCACCTTCACCACAACCGACGCCCTATCTCCTGCATTCCGGAAAGGGCCAAAACACGGCCAGTATGAGCCCAAGTGTTAGGCTGCAGCGCAGGGATCATTCCTACTATTAGCGACCTGCGGGTTTAGTGCAAAAACGCATGATCGCACAGGCAAGCCTGGTGCGTTCCAGCCTGGGTTTAAAATAGGAAGCCAAAATGGGTAAAGTAAAACCCGTCTGGCAGAGCGCAATTTTGCTCGTGTTGCCAACAGTTAACTGGTGGACGTCATACATCAACGAATGGTATTCGAGGAAATAAATGACCACTCGAACAGCACTGAAGAATCGACGCGCATACATCGACAGGCGGTGCTTACTAACTGAGGTTATGGAGCCGGGGACTGAAAGTTCTGGCACAGCTACATCCGGCGTTTTGGATTATGACAATTACATCACGAAAGTGGGGTGCCCACTGTAATAGCCCAGATGGTCCTCGTATTTTTTGCATTTTGCACCAGAAATTCAAAAAAATTTTTCCATCCATGCTTACTGCCTTCATTACATCGCTGTTTTCGTAACCGCTGACTGCAAAAACATAGTAATCAAAACTATGGAAATGAGTCCTCGATGGAGTGATTGCAGGTTCGTGAACAGCTCGCGAAAGAAACTAATTTGAGCGTACGCGTTGTTCAAGTCTGGTTCCAAAATCAGCGGGCCAAGGTTAGTGGTACCATTTTCAGACAGACCCAGAATCGCTGATGCTTCATCTTCAAAATTTGATGCTATAAAATCGTGATGCACTAAATATATCGATTCTCAGGGCTGCTGTATGTTCCTCACACTTTATAATTCCAGCAAAAAGCAGTTTTATGTTTCCGCTTAATTTTCCAACAAATTTTTTTCAGATGAAGAAAATTCAGCGGAAGCAAGAAATGTCGAAAACCTCGACATGTTCGGAGACGGATGCGAAATCCAACGATGGCTCGAAATCGAATTGTGACTCCGTCGATGGTACTTGCACCTGTCGGCTTCTCAATTAATTATCAGCTCCGTCGACTTCACACCGTTTCATAGCAGTTCCAGAACTAAGTTATCGGGAGAAATGTAGGCACACCGAGCCAGAATTTGCTGGTTTGTCCGCTGGTGGTTGTCGTTGACATTTGCTGCCACTTGGCTCTCGTGCGCCCTACTCTTCTCAGCGAAGGCTAGAGCGGAAGGGGTTTTTGACTTTTAACGAAACTCTTGTACGAGTAATTGGTAGCATTAGTGACTATATTTTTTAACAAAATGCAAGAAAGAGGAAATTGTAGGCGTATATCAGCACAGAAATAATGGTTTTTCATTCCGTTCAATTAATTAA